AAGTATTTTGCCTTTCCCAACCTATCGAACAGGTCCTCAATTCTTGGCAAAGGGTACTTGTTCTTCTTTGTATACTTGTTGAGCAACCGGTAGTCTATGCACAAGCACATAGAACCATATTTCTTTTTCACAAATAATACTGGTGCCCCATACGGCAACTTGCTCAACCTAACATACCCTTTGTCTACCAACTCCTCTAGTTGGCACTTGAGCTCCTTGAGTTCTTTTTCGTTTAAACGATAGGGGGGACGAACCACCGCCTCGGCACCCTCGACCAGCTCAATCTTATGTTCTATCGGTCATGCAGGGGGCAACCCCACCGGTAGCTCCTCCGGCATGGTATCCTGGAATTGGTCCAACACCCACTGGATCACTAAAGGTGCTTCTTCCGTTCCTATATATTTGTCACTCTTCACCAAGAGTAAGCACAAAAAGGCTGCTTTAGTTCCTTTAGTGAGTTGTCCTCTCATGGACACCAGGTTTAAGCAGGAATCTTTGGCCTTGCTTTGCCCTACCTTTAGATCCTGGACCTCCACCCTAGATCTTCTTCCTTGGGCATTCGCCAGTACCATAAGGTTCCTACCTTGTCCATGCAAGGCTACCACGAACCAATTGAACCAATCCATTCCGAAGATCACGTCAAATCCCGCCATGTCCAACACGGTGAAATCCATGTCTACTTTCCATGTCCCTACTTCGACTCTCGCTTGTGGAAGTACCTCATCGGTGCTTTGGCTACCTTGAACAAACTCTATAGTCCTTGGTTCGCCTAGCCGCTGCACCGTTAGTTCGGCTTGCTGGACTATGTCTGCAGCCACAAAATTATCCGAAGCACCCGTGTCAATAAGGATCTTAACAAAGCTACCTCCGAGCTTCCCTCGAAGGGCTAATAGATGTCGTGAAGGACTCTCTACCAAAGTTGCTCATGTAATGAGTAACTTTGAGTTAAGGACTGGATCACATACCTCAGTTTAGACTTCACCCGACTTGATGGCCATATTGGCTCTGGCCTTCTTCGGGTAGGGACATTCCCTTGAAAAGTGTCCCGCTTCACCGCAGTTGTAGCATACGTTGTTTCCCACGCTGCTATACAACTTGACCTTCTTATCCGTGGGTTTGTCTCTTTTCGCTTGACTCCCCCACGTACTCGCTCGCTGGCCACCGGATTTGCCTTTCCGGAACCCCGAGGACTCATTCTTAGAGAAACTCTTCTTGAATTTCCCCTTGCTATACATTCCCCTTGGTTTGGCCCCTTTGCTAAATGTGGATCCCAACCCCGTCGTGTTCCCCTTTCGCAGGTTATCGTTGAAACGCACCTTGATGGCCGCATCCAACGCTTCCTTGTAATTGGTCGGGTTCCAGCGCATCACCTCACCGTGAGCCTAGGTTTGCAAACCTGATATGAAGGCATGGAACGCATCCATATCCCCCATGTCTGTGACAAGTATCCTCTTTGCCATGAACCCATTCACATATTCCTGGATGGTTCCTGTCTGTTTCAGCCTACTCAGTTCATCCCTCAGATGCAGAGTGGCATTCGGAGGAACATATGTTGCGCGGATCCTCGCCTTCATCATGTCCCAAGTGACCACCGGTCCTTCGTTGGCCTCCGTTGTTCTCCACCAAGACTTGGCATTATCTACCAAGTATGGTTTTGCACATGGGACCTTCTCCGAGCTCGGTACTCGCAACGCTCGAAAGTAGTCCTCCATATCGTAAAACCAATCCTCCACCACCTTATAGTCATTCACTCCCTTGAAAACCGGTGGGGGCTTTGGTTTGTACTTGGGAACTGCTTGAGGGACTGATTCTACTTCGGTCTGTTCGACCTTGTTTGGTTCTGCCTCCGTCCCTGCCGAAGGGTCCGCACCTTCTGCGCTGCCAGCATCCGCAGTCTTTCTCTTTTTCTTCCGCTTCTCATCACACTTTAGTTTGCATACGAGGGTCTCCAGCAGGGCATTGGTCTGTGCCAACTGTCCTTCTAGCACGTCCAATCGAGCCTTGAACTACCGAACCTCGCCACCGGACTCCTGTTTGGAAGTTTCCTCACTAGAGTCCTCCTCATGCAAGGATTCCTCATCCATAGCCTCTCGTTCAACCGGAGGCTCCAGCTCTGGAGGAGGTTCCGTCTCTGCCTTGGTTCGCTTCCGCCCTACCTTTGCCATCTCCCAACAATCCACCTCTATCCTTCACTAGAACTGAGGAAAAGGCTCCGATACCAAATTGTAAGCCACAAATTTTTCCTTGCCAATTTGCCAGCTTACCTCGTCTATCTGACCAACACCTCCTTGGCTTGTGCTAAGTTCCCTTGCCAAGGTTCTCGCCTCTTGTACCAGCTCCTACTTGGTCCTACTTGGTTTCAGCTACTCACTGCACGAGCAACGGAGTGTTAGCCATCCATCTACGGATTACCAAATCTCTCCTAATCCCCCTCCCCGGGTTAAACTGGACTTAAGGTTTGGCTACACTCCCCGCAGGCACAAGCAGCCAAGCACACCAAGCCTCCAGGTTCCTAACACCCCTTGGTACAACAAGACTTGATCATGGGACCCTCTAAATCCCAAGCCTTGGGTGCAGCACTTGCTTCGGGACGTCGGGGCGAAACACCGTGGCTTAACGGCCCAGTATGGGTACCTCTACCCCCCACTTCCATCCCGAAGGGAAGGCCCAAGCCCCTAGGAAGGGCGAGGACCAATGAGCTACAAGGTACTCAAATGGGGCACCACTCCACATGAGCCAGGAGCACCGCAGTCGGTTTCCCTTTCAGGAGTGGGAGCTGCTCTTGAACACATCCCTGGGTGGCCCCTCTGGCACCACCCAAGCCCATGCTCACTCCCACCCAAGGCCCCTCGGCCCCAGTCTCAACCTCAAGCTAGTTTGGAAGCACTGCTGGAGAGTTCCTTCAAGACTGGTTCCTGGACCTCACTATCCCTACTATACTTTTGGAACCCCCTGCAGCCCCCCCCCCCCCCCCCCCCCTGGGAGACGCACGCTTTGGGCTTTCACCCCTTGACCCGTATTAGTACTCGAACTTAGTCTCTGGCTCGATCTCAGACTCGATCTCGGATCCGACTTCGGATTCGGTCTCAGACTCGATCTCGGACTCGATCTCGGACCCGATCTCGGACTCGGCCTCGAACTCGACCTCGGACTCGGTCTTGGACCCGATTTCGGATCTCGGACTCCGTCTCGAGCTCAGTCTCGAACTCGGTCTCTGAGTCGGTCTTGGACTCGATTCCGGACTCTATCTCGAACTCGGTCTTAGAGTCGGTCTTGGACTCGATCTTAGACTTGGTTCCATCCAATGAACTCTTTATCATTTTGGTCATGCTTTCGGGGCTCCTTTAGCCTACGACACCTCGGCGAGTTGGTTCCTTACACATGGGACTTAGTGGTCGAGCTTGTGGGCCTTGATTCAATAGTAGTGTTGGCAAACATGGCCATGGACAGAAAAAGGACTTGGTGGGAACCGAAAAAGGGATATTAGAGAAGGCTAATCCCCATGTCTATGGGCATCTTAAAGATATTGAGGAGTGGATCTAGGATGATCACTTGTGGATGGATGTCCCATTCCTTGAGAGATGGGATACTAATATAGGTGGTGTTAGACCACTAGTGTGACCAAGGTGAATGGGCATGGCCTTAACGTAATAGGTTAATATGTCGGTGGTACCTTAGGGTGTCAGTCATGGGATCGGACATGTGGAGCACTTGAACCAAGTGCAATGGTTAAGTGGCATGGATGCCATTCTTGGGGTTAGTAACTCCCTAAGTCCAAAATAAGACTTACGGAAGTTGTGAGTGAGACTCCTCTAAGTGGTCAAAGGTGTAGTTAAGTGACCAAAGTAGAATGGAAAATTTAGTCGTTTACTCCCCTTTGAGGAACACACACTTTAGGCTTTCACCCCAAGTCTCCCTTAGTATCAGGAGTTAGTCTCTGGGACAAGCTTGAAACTTACTAAATATGGAATGGCGCTAAATTGCAAATTTGGACACGGGACGAACACCATTGTGTTCAAGCTAATCTCTACATTCCATAAATATGCCAAATGAGCGAATCTAGACACTTTTCATAAATAACATTTTGGACCGAAATGAGACTAACACAAAAGGCATGATAGCGAGGGCGTTTGGCAAGCTCATGGCTGCTTGGAGGAGGCTAAATGTTTGTTTGAGAGGCACGTGGTGGCTTGGAACTCCATGCTTGGCACATATGCCTCGAATGGGCATTTGGACGAGGCACTAGATTCCTTCCTAAAGATGGCTCACAATGATCCATATGCTCACCTCTAGAAACCATCTTGAAAATGCAAAGTTTATTTATGATCGAATGCTTTACAAGAGCAAGATGGCGCGCACAGTGCTCCTCTCGGCCTATCTCTGGAATTGGCCACCTCCAAGAAGCGATGAGCCTCTTCTGGGCACCAAACTCAAGTTTCCAAGAGGAGTCCCTTGTGAGCAAAAGCTGGCACCATTGCCATCCAGACGATTGCATTGCGCTCCTTGCTCATGAGAGAATGCCAGAGCAAGACTTAGTCTCACACACACAATGTTAAGAGTTAAATTCCAAGACTGATGTAAAACACTTACCGAGGTGACAACACATGACTCGCCCCAGTATCGAGATAGGACTTCACGTTCCCCAAGTTCATACCACCATGGATCTGCAAGCCACTTGAAATGTAGCAGAAAACAGCGCTTCTCAACATCTGGAAATTGTATACGCTTCCAGTGCCACGAGCGCTGCCTTCAGGGTCAATGAACGTGTCCTCCGACTCGAAATTCACAACCAGTGAAGACTGTGACAAATCCAGCAGAGTAGACCCGGCCAGCAAGATCATCCATTTCTTGACCACTTTATTTTCTCGAGTCAAGCTTAACTTCAAAGAACAAAAAATGGCCTAGCCGTGTAAAGGAAGGCTAAGATCCACAGAAAAAACGTCATGGAAAACACACAGAGAGTTATACTATTGAGCACTGTAGTTTGCTGATGGATTGCCATGGTCATCGCTGGTGTGGACACAGAAACTATCGAGATTTTGGAGAAAGAACTAAACAAAACTGCAGCAGCAAAAGCCGCAGCGATGACCAGGCATGAGAGGAGCGATGCAAGCACAAGCTTTCGAGTAGGAGCCACAATTTCTGGAGAGCCAAGAGAAAAGAGAATAGATTGAGCAAACAAAGGGGGCAATCTCCCATATATAAAGATCCAAGAGCACGAACTCACACAAAAGCTCGCACAAACTTTTACTCCAGTGGCAGTAGTAGCACCTTAACGTTGATAACCATGGTTTCACCACCATGGTTGGAATGATCTACAATGAAACACACGTTCTCAATGCTCAAGTCAGAATAGATATCAGCGAAAGATGAACATCTTGAGGCGAGTTTAGATTGGAGCTAAAGGAAATTTGGAGCTGTTGGATTCTTTCTCAGCCGGCAAACTTCCGCCTTCAGTGACTCAAATCCGCTTTACATCCATGCTGGAGGTCAGAACCAAAGCTACTGAACTCTCTCTGCGTTCCAGAATATGCAATCGAACAAATCTTCAGTTATGTCAAGGTTCGTTCCCAGTAAGTTCAGTTCACTAGTACTGCGCATACTCCTCTCAAACTGTGGATTGCCATTTAAGCGGGACAACGCTCCCACCTCCAAAACCAGCGAGCCTGAGAGAAAAAATCCATGAAATTTTCTACGGCCAGAATTATGGTATATTTAGTAAAGTGTATTTAATTTGATTTATAAAGATCCTTTACAATTAGGGCTTGTGTTCTTTCTTTCTTTTTTATCACAGCGATGAAGAGGGCAAGAGAATATGGCGATTGGAGTTTTGCAACACTCAACATGGTGACCAAAGTAAAGAACAAAAAGGTAAAGGTGACATACAGTTCTCCACTACTACCGCCAGTTTTGGAGGAGAAACCCACTCTTGTGTTAGACATGGACAAGACACTAATCCATGCCCACAAGGCCACAGCGTCCCTCAAGCTCTTCAGTGGGAAGACTCTTCCATTGCAGCGCTACCTTGTCGCAAAGCGGTTGGGTGTGGATACATTTCTAAATGAGATGAGTCAGATATATGAGATTGTGGTTTTTACTCGAGCTGTGAAGCCTTATGCGGACAGGATATTGGATAGGCTCAACCCAGCTGGGAATCTCTTCACCCATCGCCTCTACAGAGATTCATGCTCGCCCAAGGAAGTGGGAGGGAGAAAGGTTGTGAAAGATTTTTCGAGATTAGGGCGGGACCTCAGACACACGGTGATCGTGGACGACAAGCCAGAGTCCTTTTGCTTGCAGCCCAGCAATGGAATTGTCATCCGTGCATTCAAAAACAGGAAAGGGCATAAATATGATGAATTGAAGAAGATAAGCAATCTGCTTAAGGAAATTGCAAGAGCTGAAGATGTAAGACAAGCGTTGGAGAAGCTTAAAAGTTAGACAAAAGATCTTGTAAAGAGAAACTCATGTATCCACTGTGTATGCTGTAACACTGCTCACTCTAAATTGATTGTGGCACTGTCTCCCTCACAAAAACAAATGTCCAATTTAGCTTTGGAAACAATGTTATGGCAAATCATAATCAGAAAGACATCTCGAGTTTCAGTCTGATTCATTACTTGAGAGTCAATCGATAATTGTGATGCTTAAGCAGCGTCATCCTGTCTGTCCTGAAACGCAACGTAGAGCCTCCCAAAATCCCATGGCTCGATCACCTGGCCTATTAGTGTGGCTTGACAAGAGTGGTATATAGTTTAGATACGATCTCATTATGCTCACTATTTTGTTGTCCATCCCCACCTACAAATCAAACATGGACGAGAGTGGTATATAGCTTGGATACGATCTCATTATGCTCACTGTTTTGTTGTCCATCCCCACCTACAAATCAAACATGGACGAGAGTGGTATATAGCTTGGATACGATCTCATTATGCTCACTGTTTTGTTGTCCATCCCCACCTACAAATCAAACATGGAGTGAGGAAAACAAAACGAAAACAAAGTTTGTAAACGACAGAAGTTTATACCTGTAAGATATCTCCAGTGAATAAAACACCTCTCCCTTGAGCTCCATGAGACCAGTGGAGGATTTGTGCAACAGCAAAATGGCTAAAAGCGTGAGTCCCTCCCATAGTAGAACTTAACCTTTTCGTGCTGGTAAACCACTCTACAAAAGTATGGATACAGAAAGATCGAAATGAAAGAGAGAAACAAAGGTAGACAATACCATTCGTGGGTATAAACCAGGACGCCTCCAAAAGCCTCGCTCCATCGAGAGTTTGTGCTGTAGTAATGCGGGTGAGAGATGGCAATCGCTCTCAATCCACCTAGTGACTTGGTTATCTCCACTGTGGCATCGTCTAGAAATGAGATGCAGTCCCACAGTATGTTTCCCTCTATCAAAAACATAAAAACCATAAAAAATGCACAACGGCCATAGCTCCAAACATACATACCTTGAGTCTGGATGAGAAACGCACGCTGTCCAATGCCAAACTTTGGAAAGGTTATGATCTCGAAGACCTGCGGCTCATGCTTCTTGATACCATTGCGAAACTGCAATCTCATCTTGCTCATGGACGTCCATACCTGACCTTCCCTAAAACTAAAAGTCAAGAAAACTCGAGACCTCCAGGATTTCTGACAAAACATCCCACCCAGACGTGTGCCTCCATAACTTTGAAATCCAAGAGTGTTAACGAGGATTCTCGTGGTGTCTTTGTAGAAAGCAATAACGCCGTGCATTGCTTAGAAACCTTAAGAGATAACCAAGATCTCAGTAGAAGGACAAACTTGTTAAAACTCGAGGAGAAAGATTGACAGACCTTGAGATCCTCTGGAGATATCAGCTGCTGGATGTGGTGGAGGCGGAGCAGAACCTCAGGTCAGACCCTGCTTATCTTGCTTACTATCACTCGCATGTCCAAGCCTCCTGTTTGAGCGCTCCATTGAAGCAAGCGCATATAACACGGTTAAACACGTTTCTTACTGGAAAGCCATCGGTATAGAGCAGCTGACGACTATCAGCTAGAACGCAGCGTATTTGGAGGGTTCCAGTCTCTATGGCCACCTATTTTTCACTCGTTTAGTTCTCTCCAAAATATAAATGAGTTTTCTTGTACCTGTAGATGGACTTAGGACAGACGTCCGAGATGTAGATCGTATAGTAGATGTGCATTTCATGTAGACGATGTTTCCATAAGTATGGATAGTGCTGTCCTTTTGGAAAGTGCTGGCTTGTCCGATCATCACAACCGTGTCAACATAATCGGAAAACTCACAACTGGAAGAGAAGAAACAAGAAGAGAGCAAACGGAATAAGAGCTTACCGGATAGGATGGATCTTGCACTGCCGCTGAGACGCTCAACCCAAACGTAAGTTGCGCAACACACTAGGAGATGATATCCTTTTGATCCATCGCCCGGAAAACCAGCCTGCTCTCTTCCACTTGTGTCCAGGAAGTTAATTGTGTCGTTGACGAGCGCGCCCGGCATTTGGAGTGCAGCTGAGCGATGGGGGATGAGTTCTCGCCGCGTGCCATGAAAAACATCGTGGCTGGACCATGGAAGCTAGAACCTGCCAGGACTTGAACCTCGGACGTCCCCATCATCCAACGGCCATGATGCGATGCGCATAAGAGCTTGCCGCATCTTGCGACAATGGCCGCCGGATCCATCGCCCACATCCTTCACAGCGACCACAACAACAGCGTCTTCCTGCGAAATGTCCTCGTCCAGATGTATGGCCGCTGCGGCTGCCTGGAGGAAGCGCGATCGGTCTTCGATTCTACCTCGGATCCCAATCTCTTCTCTTGGAATCTCACCCTCCAGGCCTACATTCGCAACCACGACCTGAAGCAGGCGCGATCGGTCCTGGAAAGCATACCGCGGCAGGAGATTGTGTCCAGCAACGCCCATACGCCGCGGCCGGGGACGTGCAGCGCGCCAAGCAGCTCTTCGATCGCATCCCTGCAAAGAATTCCATCACCTGGAACGCGATGATCGAGATGTACTCGCCCGAGGCGGAGGCGGTATTCCACTCCATGCCGGAGCAAACACTCGTTTCTAGCACGGCCATGATCGTGCCATATGCCCATAACGGGCATCTCTCACGCGCCGTGGACGGCCATGATCCAAGGCCACTGCCAGAACCGGCGGCTGGATGAAGCCAAAGATCTCTTTGAACGCCGGGCATATGGAGAAAGCAAAGGCCCCGGATCTTAATGAGGTGGCGTTTACGGCTATGATCGACGGCTATGCACCTCATGGCTGCTTGGAGGAGGCTAAATGTTTGTTTGAGAGGCACGTGGTGGCTTGGAACTCCATGCTTGGCGCATATGCCTCGAATGGGCATTTGGACGAGGCACTAGATTCCTTCCTAAAGATGGCTCATCTCTTGGGCAACAATGATCCATATGCTCACCTCTAGAAACCATCTTGAAAATGCAATGTTTATTTACGATCGAATGCCTTACAAGAGCAAGATGGCGCGCACAGTGCTCCTCTCGGCCTATCTCTGGAATTGGCCACCTCCAAGAAGCGATGAGCCTCTTCCGGGCACCAAACTAAGTTTCCAAGAGTTGTCCCTTGTGAGCAAAAGCTGGCACCATTGCCATCCAGACGATTGCATCGCGCTCCTTGCTCACGAGAGAATGCCAGAGCAAGACTTAGTCTCACACACACAATGTTAAGAGTTAAATTCCAAGACTGATGTAAAACACTTACCGAGGTGACAACACATGACTCGCCCCAGTATCGAGATAGGACTTCACGTTCCCCAAGTTCATACCACCACGGATCTGCAAGCCACTTGAAATGTAGCAGAAAACAGTGCTTCTCAAAATCTAGAAATTGTATACGCTTCCACTGCCGCAAGCGCTGCCTTCAGGGTCAATGAACGTGTCCTCCGACTCGAAATTCACAACCAGCGAAGACTGTGACAAATCCAGCAGAGTAGACCCGGCCAGCAAGATCATCCATTTCTTGACCACTTTATTTTCTCGAGTCAAGCTTAACTTCCAAAAACAAAACATGGCCTAGCCGTGTAAAGGAAGGCTAAGATCCACAGAAAAAACGCCATGGAAAACACACAGAGAGTTATACTATTGAGCACTGTAGTTTGCTGATGGATCGCCATGGTCGTCGCTGGTGTGGACACAGAAACTATCGAGATTTTGGAGAAAGAACTAAACAAAACTGCAGCAGCAAAAGCCGCAGCGATGACCAGGCACGAGAGGAGCGATGCAAGCACAAGCTTTCGAGTAGGAGCCATAATTTCTGGAGAGCCAAGAGAAAAGAGAATAGATTGAGCAAACAAAGGGGGCAATGTCCCATAGATAAAGATCCAAGAGCCCGAACTCACACAAAAGCTCGCACAAACTTTTACTCCAGTGGCAGTAGTAGCACCTTAACGTTGATAACCATGGTTTCACCACCATGGTTGGAATGATCTACAATGAAACACACGTTCTCAATGCTCAAGTCAGAATAGATATCAGTGAAAGACGAACATCTTGAGGCGAGTTTAGATTGGAGCTAAAGGAAATTTGGAGCTGTTGGATTCTTTCTCAGCCGGCAAACTTCCGCCGTCAGTGACTGAAATCCGCTTTACATCCATGCTGGAGGTCAGAACCAAAGCTACTGAACTCTCTCTGCGTTCCAGAATATGCAATCGAACAAATCTTCAGTTATGTCAAGGTTCGTTCCCAGTAAGTTCAGTTCACTAGTACTGCGCATACTCCTCTCAAATTGTGGATTGCCATTTAAGCGGGACAACACTCCCACCTCCAAAACCAGCGAGCCTGAGAGAAAAAATCCATGAAATTCTTTACGGCCAGAATTATGGTACTCTAAAGAGTATAGTCTCTCCAATTTAGAGATTCATTCGACCACTTGTGGTGGTTCTTTCCTTTTATTGATTCAGTTTTTGTTAAACCTATTAAAGACACCTTCTTTAACTCAATCCCACTATTCATTATGGAGTAATCTCAGTTTTCATTGATATAAACTTTGCACTTTGGAATTTTTAATCTTGATTTCTTAAAGTCAATTTCCTGGGTATCTTTGACACCTTGCATTGCACATATTATGCAATTCCACTTTCCCTTCTTAGGAAGTTCTATATTTGAGGGCACCATCATCTTCTCTTTTATTTCGTGTCAACTTTGACATTAAGTTTCAGTTATCATAATATGTGCTAAGGTTATTCACGGCTTTATCATTTGGCTACCTTACCGCTCCTTCCTTTGAAATTTTCATTTTTGCTAAATCAAAGTAATTGGAAATCCATCCTAGAAACCAAAGGCTTTAAAAAAAAATCTCTCATACTTGCTAAGGATTTAGTGATATGTTTGACAAGTCACTCTAAAGCGTCCACATAATACATGCTACAGCAAGGTAGGCTACTATTCTGTAAGTTGTTTGGAATTGCTTGAATTGTTTTCATCATGTTGGATTTTCATTTACAGCTGCAAATCCAACTCTGAATCTTGACTGGCCAACTTGATTTAGCATTGCAATTGGTGTTGCTGAAACATCCTCCTGGATATAAAGCTCAATGCAAAGATCTTGGACTTTGGAATTTCGAAACTCTTCAACTTAGAAAAAGGCTTCAATCACAAGAACATTGTAAGTTGCTACATTTTCCCTATAACTTATGTCCCATGCAGCGGATTTGCACCACAATATGCATTGCAAGGTCGACTAACATTCAAGGTTGATGTCTATAGCTATGGAGTACTTCTTTTGGAGATCATCTCTTATAACAATCTCACGCTTCCAACTGATGAACAGCTGCTACTGCAGTGGGTATGTTCTTCACTCACATGTTTTTGTTAAAGCTGTACTGTGGCTGCATTCAAACTTGGAGCATGAAACAAAGGGGGAAACTGCTTGAATTCGTGGACAGGAAACTAAAGAGGGATTCTTCCGAGAGCTTAGAAGCAGAGTTCTCGAGGGTGATACAAGTGGCCCTCGTGTGCACGAATGCTGATGAAAAACTGAGGCCAGGTTTGAGCGACGTGGTAGGTTAGAACAGAGCCTGAGAACCGAGCCTGAGAACAACAGTTCTCTGTTCTCGGGCCCGAGGACAGAGCCCGAGAATAACTGCTTGGTCTGAACAACTGCTTCAGGGGAATTTAAGGGAAAAAAACCTTGAATTTTCCTGTACTGTACTATTTTCATTTTCCCCTTTCAATTTGGGGGAAATGTCTCCACAATTAATTCCCAAGCTATTCCCGAAATTCCTCTGTTTTCCTTTGTTTGCGGGAATTTGACCGCTCCAGTGGCTCATGGGTCGAGACAAGCAGCACCATCACCATAGCATGAGCTCAGCCAACGAAATAGCCCACTGATATCATCGATCGATCGATCGACCCAGCCTGCATGTTTGATAAGCTGATGGATCGATTGATCGACTTGTTTCCAAATTTTTACTTTTCGTTGGAATCGGTGAGGAGGGAGAAGAAGAAGACTCGGGCTCCGATTCGTCCGTTTCAAATGTTTTTTGTGCTTGACGACCCTAATGCAGCCCAGAGAAATGGAATTTTGGCTCAGAAGCTCTTGCAGTAGGCGTACCGATCCTGACTGCCCACCAAGAGCCGCATTGGATCGAAAGGGAAAAAAGAATCCAATCAGAAAGCAGAGCATTGTGTTGGTGATATGTCCGCTTGTGCTGAAAAGCTCGGCCACTTCCGTTCCTCTTTTGTTTCTTTTTTGGTTCAAGCACCGAAACATGAAGTCAGTCGCTCGCTTGCTCGCTCGCTCGATTGATTGAAAGCTGGTGTGATGAAAGGGCAGCTGCTGTTCTTGTTGATCTGTGAACGTCACATCCGAGTTTGGTTTTGCGAAAGAGCGGAATCCAACAGGAATATCAATGGCCCCGGAGAATGACGGATTAGGAAATTGCTCTAAATCTTTGACTCTGGGGATTCGAACCCGGGCTGGCGCTGAAATGCACGACGATGTTGGAGTTTGATATAGGGGAATCGGACGGGCTTAGGGTTCTTGGAGCTGCTTTCCGCGGTCAAGGTGGTATTCTTTTTACAAGGTGCGATGCAGTCAAGCCGGCATTCTGGATATTGCCGGTTCCACGCGCAAATGAACGCGGGGTTAGTACAACTCTTGAGCACTAAGCGATTCCCCCAGGTCAATAACCTGATCATGATCAAGGTTCTTGCTTTACAAGGTGCGATGACAACTGTAAAGCCGGAATTATCGCACTGTTGAAATGAAGGAGCGGCAGGATTTCAGGCACAGCAAGCGCCTCGGATCATGAAGATGAAGATGCGAGTTCGAGGTATTTTGGTATACTGTTGTTTGGCGATCATACCATTTCTAGCAGCATCAGTGGACGTCCCTACAAGCCAGCCTCTAGTGTATATCAACAATGATCTTGGACGGTTCGGGGCTCCACTGGAGAAGCAAGACATATATGATTCTACCTTTTACAGGACTGCCTTCTTTGAATCAGACCGCGGTCTGTACAATCTGGGTTTTGCGAATTCTACACCGGGTCGGTACACGCTTGCTTTGGTACTGAATGCGGATTTATCGTATTCAGGGCCTTCGTATACGAGTAGATTGATCTGGGAAGCCAACCGAGAGGATCCAGTTGGGTTCAATGCCAGTCTCACCCTTGGAGCT